CCTTCTCCACTCTATCAGTCTCTGTAGATACATATTTTGAATTGCGCATGAGCTATTTAATTTCTTCTCGCCGTCGAACTTTGATGATGATCTACAATAGTTTACTTCCGCGTATTCAAGATTCACTCAGCACTATAATTTATCTTGAAGAGTAAGCATAGTTCATTAGTGTTTAGTTGTCAATTTCATAATAAAATCTTTCTGTAAAAATATTAGCATACTGCATATTGAATGCAATCATAATATGTTTTTTTTTCTAACTTGAAAATAATGTGAAAATCATGCTTCTTGTAATACTATGATTGAAGATAAATGCTAGGTTAACAGTGATTATTTTTTTATAGAACGGATGCTTTATCCTATATATTTATAGCAAGTAGAAATCATCTTTTCTCAGAAAATTAGATGTTATGTTGATCATCAGAAAAATCAAACGAGTGACTGCATTAATTTAAGTTGGCTTGTATTCATAAAGAATCACATTTCCATAAATGCCATATATATATAATTTTTATTAATTTGCACTTTGCTTGCTCGTGTTAATCTCTCCGATTTCTCTAACGTTGAACTTAGTACATTTGATTAAAATGCCAAAATAATTTTTTTTCATCTATCGATTAGTCAGACTACTCATAGTAGTTAGTGTGCCTAGCAAGTAATGATGTTTTAAATTAACGTCACTAAACTTTAGAGTATACTGAAAAATGAAAAAAATAAACCTCACGAATAATAGGAAACCAACTCTATTAAAGCCATTCAATCGAAAAGAATAACACTGAATAGATACATACAAATAAGGACTATAGTCAAAATAGAATTATTACATGAGTGTGAAACTCATTAATGTTTATTTTTTAAAGACATTTTTTCGATTTGATACAACACATTAGGGCAAAAGATATTCTATTTATACGAAAACACATTTGCAATTAGTTCTAATAGACATTTTTCTTTCTCATAGAAAAGATTAATGTTTGCCGTTATAATTCAAAATTCGACTTCTTAGCATTTAGAACATGAAATATTCTTTTCGACATTCATTGATTCAACCGTGTGTATTGAAACAGTGGATCTATCCAACTTCCGTTATACATACATTGAATTTCGAATGTGATGTTTTTATTATTGGTAGTAAATATTTTATTCAACAAAATAAAGCATGCTGAAAGCTAAAAATATATTTTTCAGATTTGATTAATGTCACAGACATCAATTATAGCTAAAAAAAAGATTTGGTTTGTTAATTTGTTTTTGTTTTGTTCTAAATCAATGAATCGATCAATGATATCCACATAGATGAATGTTTCATTAAGAATAAAAGCCTCTTGAGAAATGAGATTCATTACATTATTTTCGCCTTTCTTATTTTTATACTTGTTACAAACTATGAACGATTCAGTAGGTCTTCTAATAGAGAATAGAATTTTTACAAGATTTTTAACTTAGAAAAACAAATAACTACATATGTCTGCATAAGTCGTTTCGTTCAGAATAATTTCTAAACATAATTAAACTTGATAATTAGTACGCATTTGTGTTACCCAGGAGAATGCTTCCGATAGTGGGATCCTATCGGTATCCGAGTATGGGACCTACAATCGGAACCCTAGTATTGGAATCCGATAGATTCCAGTGTCAGAATTTAACGGAATCCAACATAAGCATTCGATCTATGTGTTCTGTTGGCACCATATGCTTATTCATTGGTGATTAAAAAAATGTTTTTTTTTCATCGGATCCGTTAGTAGGTCCGTGACCAGGAATTTAATCGGATTTTGTCGGCTTGTTGGATCCCATGATATCCGATAGCATTCACTGTCGGATTCATTCACCTGGGTAGATGAGATAGAAGTTAGACTTTTTTTTTACAATATTTTAATATTTTAAAATTATTCACACGAAAATGGTAGGCGTATACAATCTAATTTTATTGGCTAGAAGAATAGTTCTTATCAGAATAACATCCTTTAATCGAACGATCAACTTGATCTTACGCAGACCATACTTGACATAATTCAAAAAGCAATTAAATCTTGAGGAAAAAAACATGCACTAAAATCATACTTAACTATGTATGGGGAGCAAGTACTGACTCTGTCGCATTTAGTGACTCTGCCAGTATCAGCAGGATACAGAAAAATAAAGCTCATTTACACGCAATCTACCGATGATGGTTCATCCCATCGACGAGCAACGGAAGTAGTGCATTCTATTCGTTCATACCAAAGATTCTTTCTGTGTAATGCAAAGCAGGATTGCTAGAGTTTATTTATAGCATGCATGTATATTATAACGCTTTAGTAAAAGAAATTTATTATTATCGAGAAATAAATTTTGACAAAGTCACAATAATAAATTCTGGTCTTCTTCTCTTTTATTTTTCGCAAGTAATGACTTAAGTATTGTCTGGTTTTCTTATCCGTTGTGAGTCTAATAATAGATGTCATTATATATCAGTAGTTTTTCTTTGACTATTAGTTGTTCTGAATCTATAAGATAAAACTTCTTTTGGCTTAATTTATAATCATAGAATAAATTTATATTTTAATCGATCAATGACTCATTTGATTCAAATCAAACAAAATTACGACATACATGTTAGTATCATAAAATATATTTTTACTTGTACTAGATAAATATATCTAGAAATGTGAACTCAGTAAACATGAGAATATGGGTGTTGAGTTAATCAAATATTTTAATTCTTTTTATTAGGTTTTTTTTTCGCATCTATTGGGAAATCTTATAGTATGTAAGATGCGGGTAATTGAAACCTACAGCGCCTCTTCTCCTTTGCTTAAACATGCATCATTAGATTTCCCTTATCGCACTGATCACGAATATCTACTAAGTTTTTCGATTTGACAAAACATTCGTGAAGAAAAATGCAAGATACTATGAAGGTCTAAAAATCAGCAAAAAAATTGTTTTTCAACAAATAACATGTATTTCTCTAATGTTACACGTTTCACTTTCATCAATATGATTTTCGAATTCCTCGTGAAAGAATGAGTATCTAGCAGCAATTTTTTTCACTTTTACACTACAAAAGACTCTTCTCTGAGTCAAAGGGATATCATATTCGGAATCAGCATAAAACACTACATCGAATAAACTATATTTTGTCGAAAATAAATTTTCATCGAAATTCGGCCCGTAAGGTACCACAGGGACAAATTGAATTAAAAGTAGCTTGGGGGAGTACTGATCGAATTTTGACGAAAATTTATTTTCGATAAAATATAGTTTATTCGATGTAGTGTAAAAGTGAAAAAAAATGCCTCATTTTTCGACCATTCAACTATTGGCGTGGGAAAAACATGTTTCTCAGCACAGAAAAGCAGTATAAAAACAAGCAAGCTATTCTTTTGTAGCTCATCAAATGACGCTTTGAATGACAATTGAATGAAAGCTCTCTACACCAAGAAAAAAAACTAGATAGATTTGCAAAATTCACTAATTAGTACAAAACGGAGTGACCCTAAATGCGTGTCGACCAGGTTGAACATGTAATATCTAATAAAGCTTTATATATTGCTGCTAGACGCTCATTCTTTCACGAGGAATTCGAAAATCATATTGATGAGAGTGAAACGTGTAACATTAGAGAAATACATGTTATTTGTTGAAAAGCAATTTTTTTGCTGATTTTTAGACCTTCATAGTATCTTGCATTTTTCTTCACGAATGTTTTGTCAAACCGAAAAACTTAGTAGATATTCGTGATCAGTGCGATAAGGGAAATCTAATGACGCATGTTTAAGCAAAAGAGAAGAGACACTGTAGTTTTCAATTACCAGCACCTTAAAATATATTGATAACCACTTTTTGCATGATGATATACATGGGATTCTTTAGTTTTATTTGATCATTATAACACGATTAGTTAAAATAAAATGTAGCCGCTACTTTTAAATGACTATTAGGCTTTTGTTTTATTGTTATTTTTCATGAAATCAATTTTACTAATGATCCATTCCGTTTTCTTTACATTCCTCAAACATATTGTGATTAATGTGTCTGAACGACAAGTACAAACAACCTTCATTAACTGTTGTTACATTGTATTCGTTTGCTTGCTTTTGTTTTTTGCTATTTGATCAATGCAAATAGGGGGGAAACAGAACAATTTTAGTTACTTATATAGTTATTAAGTCTCGATTTTGTTTTTTCAAGAACAGAAAACAACGACATAAGTGTTTTATAACTAGCATTTAAGAATAGTTTATAAATATGTTCAAGTGTCTTTTTAGGGAATCATATCGAAGAACAAGAATGAAGATCGATAAGCTGAAGATGAAAATAAAATATTAGACAAGTTCTTTCTTTATCTTCTTCGTCTTCTTTTTTTTTGTAGTTTCTCCTCTTATTTTCTTTTTGTCGTCTATCTTCATCTTCTCTCGCTTCTTCAACACAATGACAATCAATAGTTGATATCAGACGGATGTACATCGGTAGGACGAGTGTCACATATTAATAATTATAATACTATGAGTCATCTCTAGTTTGACTGATATATTCATATGAAAGAAGCTTTTACTTCTACTTTTAATGAGAAATTCCAGAGAAAAAAGAAGCTATTTAACATATTTCCTTTTTTGTTTATCAGCGGTTTTAGAAAGATTATTTTCTTATAGGCGATATATAAGAAAAATAAATTCTCATAACTATGCGAGTCTATACTATTCATTTGTCATGGCAAACTAACCGGAAATGAGATAGTGCAGTAAAAATAGTTTATAAGATTATATCACATCAACACAATTACTCTATTTTTGCTTGAAAATATAACTAAGAGAATCCTCAGAATATAAATCACATTAAATAATCAAGCTAATTTCCTACTGCTTTCCCTGGGCACAACATCTCGTATTAAACACATCTTAATAGATCGACACGTTTTGTTTTCGTTACTTGTCATAGTATTTATAGTTATGCTTGCATATTTTTTTTTTCTAGAACGTAATTTTCTATTGTAACTAAATGTCGACTGAATAACAATGGCTTCAATTCATTTTCCATTTAATATAACATGTAATGCGTCTCCATCTGGAACAGTTTATGTGGATTCCGCACCACCTATGCCACCATCGTATCTTCAAGCAACAGCTCTGATTATCTATACATTATTGAGTATTCTTACTGTTGGTGGAAACGCTCTTGTATGTTTTATAGTATTTCATTTCATGGGTGTTATTACTGTTACAAATTTATTTATTGCAAATTTGGCACTAACCGATCTTTTTATCGGTCTTTTTTGTATTCCAATTGTGTTTATATCAGATTATCTTTTATCTGATTGGCCATTTGGAGAATTTATGTGCAAATTTACATCATTTGCACAGTCTGTTGTTGTTGTTTGTACAGTATATACATTAGTGGCTATGTCAGTTGACCGTTATATAGCAATAATTCACCCATTAAAGCCAAAATTAACAAGAAAACAATGTCGACTATTAATTGCTTTACTGTGGGCATTTTCAATATTATTTAGTTCACCAATATTTATTGATATGGATATAAAGCATACTTGTTTTCATCGTGATTCAGATAATATAACAGAACATTCGCAAACAGTATGCGAAGCAATGATTCTCCCGTCATCACTACAAGCAGCCTATAATTTTGCAACGATCACTATCATCTATATTGTTCCATTATGTGTACTAACAATAGTTTATATACGTCTTGGTTGGCGATTACACCAAAGTCGTGCACCAGGTGAAGCACATTCAGAACGTGATGCTAAAATTAAAAAATCCAAGCAGAAAGTCATTAAAATGTGTTTTGTTGTTGTAATTATGTTTGGTGTATGTTGGCTCCCAATGCAATTATATACAAATATATTACGACCATATCTTACTGAAATCATCCATGAAAAATATGTTCCACATGTTTATTTTGCTTTTCATCTTATGGCTATGAGTAATTCATGCGTTAATCCCGCTATCTATGGTGTTATGTCGTCAAAATTTCGTGCTGGTTATTTACATTATTGGCATAATTTAGTAACATGTTGTGGTTTATTTAATACTTGTGCTGTAAAAAGGACAGAACAAACCGAGAACGTTACAAAAACAGCATTATTTCATGTGAATCGAAAACGATACGAATTAAATTTAATAACTCATGATATTGACTTTGATCGATCAAGTGATATATCAGCACCTTGTTCTATTCGATTGATAGCATCAATAAAAACATCATCAAATGAGTAGATTTTAATTTATCTAATAAGAATAAGAATAATAAAATATTCATATGATATAGCAAAATATTATTTTAATATCTTTTGATTAATTGTTATTGTTGTAATTTTTGTTTTTTCGTGTAACATTACTTTATGTTTGTAGATAGTAGAGATGAACGAATCGGATTTGAGAATCTCTCGGTTTATAATTTCAGAAAAATATTTAAAAAAAGATTATTGTCAATATTTATCGAAAGATGTTACATTATGGTGTAAATTTATATTTTCAACAAAAAGTTAAATTTTTTCTTCTTCGTTGTATTGTTTTTCTTTCTTTTTTTTTATAATCTTTTAGACGAAATAAATCCAAAAAAGAGAATCTTTACTATCGATTTATTGAGTACGAATGATTATGATCAGAAAAGTTTTCTTTTTTGTTCTAAAATTCATTAGTTTGAAGAATATTTTTACTAGAATTAATTTCTACACAAATTTTTGCCACGAAAAATATTTTCTAGACAACGAATAAAAGCACCAGAGACTTATTTCCATATTCTTTTATGATAATAGAATTAATTTCACTATATCAGAATTATACAACAGTACTTGATTAGGAAATTCATTTTGCATTAATATACACGTGGCAGTCTATGTATTAGAATGAAGATGTCAACATTTTTATTTATCTAGAAAATAATTGATGAAATTTTGATCAATAATTTAATTTTAAAAGATAAAAAATTATTTGTTTACGATAAATGAGTTATAATGATTATTTTAGTTTAGATAACATTGTATTTTAGTAGTTGTTTTTAGTCAATATATATATAAAATTTCATGCCTTGACATATTGATTGCTGTTAGATAGGGTAATATGGAAAACAGCAATCAACAAGTTTATTTTACAGAACACCTATAGTTTGTATAGAAAAATCTTTTTCATTCTGTTTCAATAATGATTATGTGATTATTTTTTTGATGAAAATAATTTCCTAAAAGATATGAACACAGTTTATTCTAAGTCAGAAGCAGAGTTTGTTAGAAAAAGTGGCAAAGAATAGAAATAACAATGAACACGGACTTATTCGAATTATTTATTTATAACAAACCAAATGTGCTTAGAGCCTTGTATTTGTATCCAATGTGCTTTATTTAAAAAATGATAATCTGAGAAATAATTTTTATAGATTATGTAAAACAGATATATATCATACAGAATTATTTACAGGAATGTCAGTGCACTAACAATAAAATTGAAAGATTTATAGTATTACTTAACGGTACAAGTCTAGCATAATTTAGAAAAAAAAAATAGTTTGATAGAATACTTTTTCTATCCATAAACAATCGCTGATCACAACATGATTAGTAGAATTTGTGTTGAAATTGAAAAACAATATATTTCGATGAAGAATCGTTGATCGACACGTTCTAATCATGAAATATATACGATTAATATTCTTGACACAATCATACTTATATCGCAAAGATTTTATGCAATTAAAGACACACATGGGCCAACTGATTCAAGTTTTAGTTTTATTGCATATCATCAGAATATTCTATTCGTATGAAGTAAAATTATATTACATATAATTCACAGACAGGAAACAATTCTACTACTAGTATAATGTCTGCTAAATGGACTGGAAATTGACATTTGTATGCTTCGTGCTTGATGAAGCAGCCAAATACGTTTTAGTAATAGAAATTTCTGTGATAATCATGTTTTTATGATGAAGCATCAAGTCGATGCGCTTTTTTTTCTTCTTTTATTGTGATCTCTGGCTTACACAAGTCATGTGCGAAGAAGAAGAAATTTATTATCATGTTATTTTATTATATTACACAATGAAACACGTCACATGCGCGCAAAGTTAGAAACACTATGAATGGATGTGAGGCAAATAACCGGTTTTGAATGTAAATTATGTCGTGGGAAAGACAATAACCTTAGAAAAAATGTTACTTGATGACTCTGGTGTATTTAAGATTAATTATTCTTTTAGAAATTATCATAAATATGCATAATAATATAGAATAAACATCAACGTTAAATATATGCATAATAGGTCTCCTTTTTACTTTTTAATAGGAAAACTATTTTCAAGTTCTCGTCATATTGACATTTGTGAAATTAGTAAAAACTTCATTAGTTAGACAATAATTTATTTATTCAAAAGCAAACATATTTTTTTATAAAATGAATCATAACAAAACTGAATAATTGGAAAAATTGTGGAAAATAACGTTTACTACTAAAATTTCCGAATAATGTTTTCGAATCTATTTGTATATAACTATATGATATTGATTTGGCAAGACCAACTTGGTTACGATTCACATTATAGATTGAATAGAAACGACTAAGAAAATAATCACCAAGAATCCATATTAGATATCCATGATTATCATGTAAATTTACACCTTGAAAAACTGTATAACATATTTGAGTATCACCGTCATTTACGATAAGTAGATATTGTAATACTGATAGTATAAATGTTATATTACCAATTGAAAACTCTACATCGGGAAAATTCGATAATAGACGCGTATGACAGTCAACGGTGTACTATTTTATTTCAAGAAAACGGAAAAAAAGATAATTACTATCTATAAAATAAGATGATGTTAACATGATCAATCTTACTAATCCAGTTCCTGGATCATAGGTTGCATCAATAGCACGATTAAGTAAGGCTATTTGACTAGAAGGACCAACAATCAATGTTGTGCCAGTATCCAAAATAGCACGGCATTTTGTACATATTATTTTATCGCTTACTTTGACACTAGATATGAAAGAAACATTAAAAACAGTTCTTCTTTTCAAATGTTTGATTTCACCTGTTCATCATAAATTCCCAGTAGGCAGGTATCACAACATCGACGTAACTGATTGAACCTGAATGTTTTGTTGAATCTACTCCACCAAAACTGAGTTCACCACCTGGATAAACATCAGGATTTCTGAAAACGAAAATTTTTGTTTTTTATTAAAACTATCATCAATGATTGACTAAGATTAAACGTACGGATTGAAATAAAAAGAAAAACATGCTTGAGGTATAAGACCTTGCTGCCACATATTATAAAAAACAGGTAGTTGACCAAATGTGCCAAGTGATGGATAAGCAAGACCTAATACGCCATCGAATGTTGAAGAACTAAAACCTGACATATTCTTCGCTTCAGCAAATGCTTGGTTTAATACAGACAAGGATTCTATCTAATTAAGCGTTTGAATTGTTAAGATTTATTCATCAATCAATCAATCAATACATACCGTTACGGTATCATTAATGAAAATACCGTTAACATATGAACCATCACCATATGTAATTTCTAAGAGAGCTCCATTAGCTTGCGAAGTTTTCGAACTCGATGAATTGTATTTTGCTTTGTTTCCTAAAGTTTATATTATTCTAGAGGTGCTTTTCATTCTCTAGAGAACTATTCACCGCAAGTAGAAAGACATTGAATTGACGGTACCCATAAATCAGTAGAACCTGTATCGAAATCAATAATAAAAGTTTTTCCTGGTGTACCAATCGAAATTGCACCGACCCAATAATACTGAAAGAAATAGCATACTATAGTTAAACTTATAGATTGAATTTTCTTTTAATATACATTTGCTTGATTAAATAATGATTGTGTTACTTGATTTGTTCTGCCTTTGAATCGTAATGAACTTTTATAGTTAGATATAGTTGTTTCCTGTTCTATAAAAGTATTTATTATTGGAAGACTTATTGTTCGATAACATGAAATTCTAAAATACACTTCATGAATGCAAAAAAATAACTTTCTAAAACGAATTACCGAGGTAATTCAATTGGAAATGCAAAACCAATCAGAAGCAAGTAGAATAGAACACGTAAATTTGGCATTTTTAGTGACAAATAAAAATCTGTACGTGACTAAACTCAACATTACTATAAATTGGGACGACAAAAAGGATGAAAAAGAACATACAAAAACACTCATCCTTCTTCGATCTAATAAAAAGTTTAAAATAAAAAGCAATGTTTGCCGGCAGTCTTACAAAAAAAAGACATTCCTTTTGTGTTTGCCTATGATACTGTCAAAAGTGCGTAGTGAATCTTTAGCTACATAAAGTAAAATACAAAATTACTGATGGTACAAGCTTTTTAATTGTCAACAATGTTGACACATTGACGGCAATATTGTTTTCAGTGAAAATTGAAATTAAATATTTTTATATTCTATTAGTAACATTATAGGAAAAAAAGATTTAAAAGTGGGACAATTTAGTTGATCGGGTTTTTTTTCACTTATTTCTCTTCTAATCAGACAAAAGAATATAATTATTAATTTATTCACAATGATTGATAGTCAAATATATGAGTTGTTGTTTAAAAATGCATAGAAGAAACCTCATGAGTAATGAAAACTTCGATGAAAACATCAAACAATTGGAAAAGAAAAGAACTCGATAGAGACTGAAAGACAAAGCACATGAATGAAACAGATGTCAAATTCAGTCATTTATCTTCATTTTCGTGACATGTTAAAATGATTCGATAGTTATCGTGTTTTGAATAATAGTCGAAAGATCATATAGAAACATTTATTTCTTCGATGAGATCACACATTTTCAACGGTGTTGTTTCAGTGAAAAACTGTTTACAAAAACGGAACGCCTCCAGTTAAAAACGTTTTTCTTCTCGTATTATATTGACCAGGATGTCATATATTCTATGCAGCAAATACAATCGCATTGAGACAGAGTACAGAAATGAAATGATTAATTCTGATTCGAAATGAAGCATTTTTCAATGTGTCTATTTAAAGAACAACATGTTCAGTATTATTGTGCTCAAATTTTCCAGAAAAAATATTGAACTTTAGTGATTTGAGAGAATATGTAGGGATGAAAGAATTAAATAAGTGAAAAATCAGTTTGTTGTTAAGGCTCTTTTACAAACAAAGATGATGGGAATAGAAAATTCCAATTAAGCTATATTATTTTTCTTTGTGTATAGTTCGATAGATCGAAAAGATCTGATTATGAACATGTGCGCTTTTAATATTTCCAGATAAACTACTTCTTGTAGAAAGATGATGAATTTTCAAAACCAGTTAATATCTTTATTTTTCTGTTTCCTTTTCATATCAGCGCCATTTATTTAAGATTAACTATTAAATACTATAGCCCGAACATTTAGTGCTACATGTTAGATTTGAAACACTCATGTTTGAAATCTAAAGGTAACCTCACAAGAAAATTAATAGGAGACATTGCACGTAACTCACGACCAGTTACAGCAAAAGGTTGCTCAATCGATCTCATCTATTTGACTCATCCTTTTATAGTAGGTAGTCCTGGCTAAGCTAAGAAGAAACTGAAAATTTCAGCTCGAGCGGATGATCCCTTCTGGAGATATATGCACTCAAAGTAAGACGGGGTCGGAATTTTTGGGCATCGACAATTTTCAGTAAATTTTCACTTACTCAAGTTGGAAAACAATTCTCCATGCGATCGATCTTGCTCAGCGGCGTAACCCAGAGATGTCATAATATCCTAATACTGGGTATCGTCGGCATGCCACTCACGATATCCATTCAAGTGGATATCTAAAATGCATACTAAAATGAATACCCATGTTCCTCATAGCTGAGGAATTTGAGTGCATTTGGTGTAACGAGATTGGGTATCGGAAATGGATAACCTCTCGTAGGAATACGTGTCTTTATAATTATAAATAAGCAAACGTGATGCTATATTTAAATTTATTGTATTCATGTAGTCAGCTTTATGCCAATGTTTATCGATATGTACAGATTCGTTTAATGAGTATTGTATATAGCGTGCAATTGCAGGTAAAAGTTCGTTGAACAACTTCATTTTCACCTAATAGCAATTTATTACGACTTTCATCACAATGACTCAGGGAAGTCGGGTTGAAACTGTAGCATGCTGTGTAGTTGGTGTTGTTGTGGATTGTCACATGTATGTTATGTGAATTGTGGCTTATATTAATTCGTTTGAAGCAGGACCTGACAGTAGGAAAATTCGTGGATACCCAACCTCGTTACACCAAATGCACTCCAATTCCTCAGCTCTGAGGATACATAAATATCCATCCAACTGGGTATACTATCTAGGTATTCATCTCGATACCCAAGTTGTGGATATTATGACATCCCTGCTGTATTTTGTTAATTCATCACGCGCTGATGTGTTTCGAGTGTTGTTAAAGGAACATTTATGTATCACTTTTATTACAGGTAAAATAGTTTCATGGATTACTGTTTCTAGTTCGCGTGTGGTGCACTTGAGATTGTCTACTGTCTTCTCTATCATAATAACTTGATTAATTAATCTTTCTTCTAATTGTTGGAGACGAGATTCAATTTTATTTGTAAATGCGGTTAATATGTTCTCTATACAATTTGATTGATTATTACTTATATATGATATGTGTTGTTGTTGTTGTTGTTGTTGTTGTTTTGACGGTAGGACTGACGCGTACGTGTAAGGTCGAGATTAAAAATCTTCGTGGTTTTGTTGCTGTATTGGTGACGATGGGAATGGTGGGAATGTTTGTTTGTTAAAAACATAACAAAGGTGTTGATCTTGTTCTTGATTTATTAATAGGTGTGTTCTTTTTATCTTCTGATTTTGGCCGATTTGTCGCACTTCTGGACATGCTAAATGTCCTACATAGTGGTCTTGACCACAGTTGACACATTTGATCTCGTTTTGGCAGTTATTATTGAATGGATGATTGAGACCACAACGTATACAGAGTTGAACCTGACTGTTACATTCTTTAGTATTGTGATAGTGACTGAAGCATTTCATACACTTGTTGATCTTTGCAGGAGGATGATATTGTTTCAAAGTATTTTTCATATGGCCTATTGATATTCTTCCAGTGTCCATCAGTTTCTTTATTTACTCTAATGAGCAAAAATCAGCACGAACTAAATTTAAAGGTTTATTGTTAAACGAATGCATTTTTGTTAACTTTATTAATGATGAATATGTTATTTTTAATTCATCTTGTACTTCATTTATATTCCAACCGTTGTAGAATTGTTGGATTACTAACGAATACGCTGAAGGGAAAATGCGCAGTACTTTTAATTCAAATTCATCATCCGCAATTTTATCAGGCCATTTATGTTGATCAAGTAATTCTTCAAAAGTTGTTTCATTGTTAGCAAAAATTAAAATCCGTTTTTCATGCCCGAATCGACCAGTAATGTCCAGCTCGGATCTATTTTTGTTTTTCCATTCTAAAATTAAATGTTCAACTAATTTGCAATCTGTAAGTTGTTCATTGTGTTGTGAGTTTTTTAATGTTATAGAATAAGGTGAAAATGCTGTCTTGTGTACGATTTCCATACTATCACTTGTTATTGTTGTTCTTGTTAATTTCGAAATATTAGGTGGGGATGATTGTATTTCTGATGATTCTTGTCTGAGACGTTTTTTCGGGTTACAGTTGGTACTATTGTTGAACACAATTGTTGAGTTTCCAGTTGCCAAGGCTTGGTTTTGAGGATTGTTGTAGTTTTTCTTTAAATGGATGTTTGTATTTGCCGTTGGTGACTCATTGTCTCTTGTCATCCCATAGGGGTGATGCGCAGGAAGGAGGAAAAAGAGAAAGAGAAAGAGAAGAGAAGAGAAGAGAAGAAAGGAGAAAAAAGCTTGTACAAGTGTATATGTGAAAGTGAATCAGATGTGTAAGAAATACGTCCG